CAGCTTTCGACTCGTTGCTTCGAGCCTTCATCAGAATGAGGATATTTATTTACACGTGCTTTTAGCTTGGAGACGTTTAGAGCGTCTAATTGATTTCAGGGTGGATTAATGATTGATGGGGTGAAATGTTGCCATGGGTTTTGGTGTGTTGTTAATATGATTGGTGTTAGTAATATTAGAGGTAGTGTTTTAGTTTTGGTGTTGTTTGTATTTTTTTGTCCTTTTTCTTTTTAGCGTATATGGCATAAGAAAGGTTCGATATGTCTGCTTTATTGTGTCGTTGTCTTCACTGTACCAAGCTTCTTTGAATTCAAAGTGTGTGTTTAGTCTGTGCGTCCGAGTACTTGAAGTTTCTGTCCAGTCGAATGTGTGGTTGTTTCCGTGGGTATGTTCTGCCGGTAGTGAGTTCGGATTTCGTCGTTTTATATGTTTTTTTGTGTTCTGTTAGTCTGTTTCAATTTTTAGATGTTTGTCCTATGTATTGTTTTTTGAACAGTCTTTACATGGTATCATGTAGATCGCGTCAGTTGTATCATGAATTGTTGTTTTGTCTCATGCCGGTGAACACGATTTGAGTTTTGCGTAGGTTGCTGGGCGACGTTAATATTAAATGGTCGAAGAAGTCTGGCAGTCATTTCTGATGTTCCGTTTATGTATGGTAATGTGACGATTTTACCTGTTTCGTCCGGTTTGCTGCTTTGTCGGTTTGTGTTTTGTTTTGTATTTTGTATATATAGTTTGTTTTTAAGTAGGCTTCTAGGGTAATTTTGTTTTAATAAATGGAGTATAAGTAGTTGCGTTCTGTTTTTGGCTTCTTCCGTATTTACAATGAGGTTTATACTGTTGAAAAGTGTTCGAATGCAGCTTATTTTGTGTTGTGTGGATGATTGCTGTTGAAATCGAGTATTTGGTCTGTGTGGGTGGTTTTGCGGTATACTTGTGTGTTTAGTGTACCGTCATCTGTTCTGGTTAGCAGGATGTCGAGGAAGGCAAGTTGTTTGTCGTGTTCTTCGGTCTTTAGTAAAGGTATGTTCTTTGTGGTATTGTTTATGGTGTGTAGGATTTGTTCAGTTTTTTGTCTTTTCGGACTATGGCAAAGATGTCGTCGACATTATCTTTTCCATAGTCTGATGTTTTGTGTTGTTTGTGACTGATTGTGTTTCGAGGTGTTGTATGACAGCTTCTATGAGGAAGGTGGATAGTGGTGATCCCATTGGTGTGCCTGAAATTTGTCTGTAGTATGTGTTTTGGAAGGTGAATTCAGTGGAGAGGCAAAGGTTGAGTAAGTCTAGGATGTCATTTTGTCTAGGTGTGTTGTAGCTTGCCAAGTTTTGTCGTTTGTGAGTAGTTCGTTTGTAATTTGTTTGGCATGTCTAGTGGTATGGATGTGAAGAGTGATGTCACGTCGTAGGATATCATGATTTCGTCTGGTCGTAGTTTAATGTTTTCTAATACTGGCGAGGAAAGTGGTATTTCGATGGTGTGAGGTGAATTTTGACTAATGGATACAGAATGTTATAAAGATATTTTGAAAGTTCATACGTAGGTGATCCTGAAGCGATACGATAGGTCAGTGGGTTGCTTTATGGATTTTGCAGTCCGTAGAATTTGGCGGTGGATGCGTCATTGGGTCGGATTCTTCTGTAGTCGCTTTGCTTAGTTTCTTTTGTCTTTAGTTGTTTCAGTTTCTGGTTGATGCGGTTGGTGGTCGTTTTGCTGGGGTCTGTGTGGAGAAGTTCGTAGGTGGTGGTGGTTCTTGTAGAGTGGTTTTGGCTTTTGTCGATGTATTCTGATCTGTCCATGATAACTTGCTTTGCGTCCTTTGTCAGCTCGTAATATGATGAATTGTCGTCGTTTTGTAGGTTTTAATTGCTCGTAGTTCTTCGTAGTTTAGGGTGACAGGTGGTTTGTGGCAGAGGTTATTTGTGATTTGTGACGAATGTCTTCTTTCGTTTGGTCTGTTAAGTTGGTGTATTTTAAAGCGGATTCCAGGTCGGCAACGTAGTCAAGTTTGTTCGCGTCTTTAAAGTTGTAATTTAATCCTTTGTTTAAAATTTTAGTTTGCTGTTCGGTTAGTGGTTTGTTCGAGATGTTTGTGACAAACATGCTTCACCAAACATAAAGACAAAACAACAATTCATGATACAACTGACGCGATCTACATGATACCATGCAAAGACTGTTCAAAACAATACATA